GGGTTAGTGGCACTCAATAATTAGTAGCCTCAGTGTTGGCTAGCAAAGAAGAATGGAAACCATTACCCACTACCTAACAACTGGCTGTCAGATGGTAAGTCAGTAGCAACAGATTGGTCCTCGTGAAATTTGGTAGTCATTAAACATCCGCTACTCCGTCATTCTAGAGAGTAGCAAATGGCTGGTAATAAATAGTATGAATACTGTAACTAAAACTGAGCTTCATTTATTTAGTCTCCTATTTGTCATTCTGTCCCATGTTTAAAATAATCTCTCTTGTTCTGCAGGCGCTTACCCTGTATGCATTTATTTCACCAAGTCTGTGTAGACCAATGGCTAGCTACAAGCAAGAAGTGCCCAATTTGCAGAGTGGACATTGAAACACAGCTTGGCGCCGACAGCTGAAAGAAAATTCGTCAGGACTCCATAATTTTCCGTATCAGGTCACACGACCTTTGCCTGCAGCAAAACTTTTGCCTTCTGAGCCATGGGATATAGAGGAAAGTCTGCAAGCACATTAATCCTGAAGATGAATTATGGGCATGTAGTAATAATCAATAAGGATCTTAACAGCCATAAATCCCCGCTGCGTTGGAAGCTGGCCTTCCCAGAACCAAAGGGGTAGAGTGCTGAGCGACAAGCAGAAGGTACAAGAGTGGTTATCTAGCTTGCCAATCCTGCACTTCAAAGGATTGTATATATACCTCTCAAATAGGTAGAATCAAGTAGGGGTCCCTAGCTATTTCTGTGGATGGCAACCGGAGCATGTTAGCTTATTACCAAGTTTTTCTGTGTTTGGTGGCCCTAGTCATCTTGTGGTGGACATATTGCTGTTAACCTAAATTTGCACCAAATATTATTTACACCGATTTATTATTTTTATTATTTTTTTTTTATTAATATTTTTTTTTTTGGTGCCTGGATGAGCCATTGTGGTTTTAAAGCATTGAAACTTCCCAACTTCCAAAATGCGGGGCAAGAAATCCTGTTTACAGTTAAAAAGGATTGCGTTTTTCGAGCCTCAGTTTGGTTTCTTATTTATTTATTATTATTCTTACGTTATGTTTACAGAGGGTTGGTAATAAGAAAAGGCCTAAAACAAACAAAAAAAGAACAAATATCTATTTAAACATCAATTAAACAATTACCCTGGTTCGCTCTGCTGTTGCTGGAATCAATGCGCAGAATATTCAACTGTTATTCTTGTTTTCTGCTTAGACATCAGCAAAGTCTTCAGGGACCATGTCAGCAATTATATATTTTATGGTTATAGAAAGAGCCAGAAACTGTACCTTATACACAAAGTGTGCATGCATTATTTTTCATTTTATTTTTTTTCTTCAGTTCATTTTCAATAGATATTCAATTATGTTCTTTCTGGTCCAACCTACTCTGCAGAAAATTTGGAGAACTTTGCAGAAAACATATAGAACTATTAACTAAGAACTGGTGTGGGTTCCTTAAAGGAACACTATTGAAAACAAGAAATTGCCCTAATTGACATTAAAAAAAAGCAATTTAACGTGGAATAAAACTTGTCTATACAGTTGTCCATTTCCATTGAAATTGAATGGTATATCTCCAGCCATTACATTTTCATTGTGCCCCTTTAAGCCATGGTGTTTTATATAGAGAAACGTGGGTTATGTTGACTTCTAAAGTGTAAAGCACTTAAAGCGTAGACAAATGTAAATGATTACATTTGATAATCCCAGTGTGTGGTCTAGACCACTGCCAATCAAGCTAGTGTGTACACTAAACCAGCAGCCCACGTTTTATTGATATCACCATCGGAAGGTATTTAATAACACCAATGCCACATATTTGGATAATTCCTAATCTGGATCAATGTGCATCATTGTTGATCTATTTGAGAACCACCTCAATGCTGGATAAAGAGCCAGAATCAAAAAAGTAGATCACACATTACCTCCTCAGCTTTCCTAGCATACCTTATATTAGCTTGACCTTTCCGAAATCATGAGATTAAACCACTCTTAAGCCACAACCTATTGCCAGCAATTAAAAGCCTCAGACTGCCTCTTCTTAATGTTGAATAAGCCATTGGTTCCCTGAGATCATTGATAGTAGCACTGAAATCCAGGTTTGGTGATATATTTTATAGTTCTAAAATTATATCTCAAGACATTTCACAAAACCAGCATTTTATCTAGAAAACATCAGATGTTTGTACAACCATCTCTTCTCATTAACATGTAGAGACTGTTGACAGTTTTTTTTTTTACATTTACATTTCAAAATACAAAAAAGATTTTCTGTTGACTTAAGTCGCTCTTAGTCTTTCATAGACCATGGAACTATCAGTGCTTAATGAATGTTCTAAGGGAACAGTTGAATACAATAGATCAGGTTGTATGTACAAGACCGCCATTTTATAATCATACAAGAGCACAATATATTTAATAACAATGCATGGAGTATAGAGGCTGGATAAATCATTTTAATGAAATATTCTATGAATCTGTCAGTAGTTTGAGCTGGGTTGTGGCAGCCATATTTAAGGAAATTTGCCATTTTAAGGACCATTCTATTTGAACTGCAAAACGCGTTTGGCTTTAGAAATCCAGCAACAGCAGATGAAATAAGCCATGGGTATAAAAACTGGCTTGTTCCAAGCTATACTGCGTTTCATTTTTGTATAATGCATTAAAGCTTGGAAGCGGCCATTTTACAGGTCTAAGGAATGATTCCATTCAGAAACTTGGAAGAGACAGTATTAAATTATTGCCTAACGAACAAGCACATTTTTTTAAAGAAACGGTGAAAGAAAAAGCACCACATTTTTATTAAATATCTCGCTTTGTGTGTATGAAACCCTAAAAATGGTGAGATGTACGTACTGTCAGAGATCGTATTGGTGTGTCAGGTACTATGTTGTTTAATATCCTGTTTGCGTAGAATGGAAAAGAATACTTTTCAATCTATAGGAATCAAATGTTTGATAGTTTACAGGGTTTTGTGATTTTAAATGCCTTATATTTAACAATCATAATTTATGACTAACTTGTAGATTTGGTGGGTTCTTATTTAATTATTTTTATAGTTGCTTTGGCCTTTTTAATTATAATTTATTTATTTAGAGACAATACTAATTTTTTTGATAACTCCTATTACCTCATTTTTGCATTGTGTCGGGGACTGGAATGCTCTGCATGCGTTGGTACATTCAAGCAAAATGAAATCTTTATCTTGTTAAACAAATTAAATACTAATTCAGGGTGTGTGTTCACGAACTGTATTACTGTGGTGCTGTTATCTGGAAACATTCCGTAAAAATGCAAACCTTTTGAGTCTGTATGCTGTAACCTGGTGGAAACTGCAATATAGTGGACGTGTTTAGCACATCTAAATATTATTTGCACTCATTTTTAAACCGAGATGACCCTTTTTATTTCTTCAACGTCTATTAAATAATTAGTGTGAGGATCTTTGAAGCCAAATGGGACATGTATATGTAGGAAGAAGGAATTGCTCTGAAAATGTATGGTATTTATTACGAGAGCATTGACTGGGATCTTTATTTGTTTGAAATCTTAATGGTCATTTGAAGAAAAGAAAACAAAAATAATGTAAACTCACTTACTAACATTATGGAACAGATAAAAATCCCACAAAGTTATTCAACATTAACCCTAAACTTAAAGGGAAGATATTGTAGAAAGTGTGTGAGTGTGTGTATGTATATAATTGTTCATTATATAATGTGCCATGTGTGTTAGGACAACAGAGAAAAAAACTATTCGTTGATCTAATAATATCTGAAAAGTATGAGCTGCTATGGGGTTTAACCTTTCAGACCCAAAAATGTGTGCTGCAAATTGGAGATTGCAATATATGGGATTCACAACAAAAACCTGAATATAAATGATATTATTTACAAAGGGGTGCAACTACAGAATGGGAGCGTACCTGGAAACTTGATGAGCCAGTTCATGAAACTTGGGAAATGTTAACTTCAGCATGACTCTGCCACAAATCACTGGTATGGCCACCTTTTTGAGTCTACATCACATTTTATCTCACGACATCATTGTAGCTATAGTACAGGGATATCTGAAGCCACTGAATTGGCAATGCTCTTAAATATGATTATATCCTAGAATTAGAGCCCAGCAAAACCCTTAATCATGCTTCCATTTGGGTAATGCTGTTTACCTGGAAACATTAGAGGGATGACCTGGAGCAGGTGTAGGCAACCTTCAACACGCCAGATGTTGAGGACTTCATGTTCACTGGCAGAGCATCAACGGGAGATGTAGTCTTAAACATCTGGAGAGCCGAAGGTTTCCTACCCCTGAACTACCCCTGATTATTTGACAGGTAATTATTAACTGTTTCAAACGATTTATTATTTTCGGGGGAGTGGGAACAAGGCCAGTCATTATGCATGCTAAATTCACCATCAGAAATATCCACCCTATTTCATAACACGCATTGAAATTACTTAACCTCAAAGTTTCCTACTTATGGTCATACCTTCCCTCTGTTAACGTGACAGATTCCCAGTACTTTATATCATTGCTTCCTTGTGCTTCAAACACATACTCAGCATTTGTAAAATAAATAAAGGAAAAGAGACAGCGCCAGACAACCTGTAAGGCAGCAACCCAACAAGGGAATCCCCCCAAAACCCTAAAATACAGGATAAAAGCAAAATATAAAAGGAGGGCTGCGCCAGAATAAACAGTGTCCAGTATCAATAGTTATTGAAGATAAAAAGTCCGACCTAAAAAGGTATCCTCTCTGTCGTCTTTAGGTACAGGAACGCGATCTTCAGGTAATATATAAAAGATAAAAGGTAAAAGGAGAGAACAAACGTTTGTTCTCTCCTTTTATCTTTTATATATTACCTGAAGATCGCGTTCCTGTACCTAAAGACGACAGAGAGGATACCTTTTTAGGTCGGACTTTTTATCTTCAATAACTATTGATACTGGACACTGTTTATTCTGGCGCAGCCCTCCTTTTATATTTTGCTTACATACTCAGCATTTATCCCCAGTGGCCCTATTTGGCTAAAAAAAAAATAAAAAAAATGTTGTTACGGTACTCAAAATGACTGTTTTTAACAGTTACCTCATTATATGATACATCCTCACATATTGTTTAAAACTAGTTTTCTCTTCCTTATTTATTTAATCATGTATGCAAATTAGAGCACATCTCAGTTTAAGATAAATTTGAATTATACATTTTTTTATATATTTTTTTTTTTTTACTGGAAGCAGTGATTTCTGTGTTATCCAGTACTAGCAATCTGTAGTTACTGTACATTACTAGGGATTCTCTGTTTTGCTAGCAGATGCTATACTAAGTAGCTTTCTCCATAACATTGTCTGTAAAGTGACCACTAAACTGGCATATATATATTTCAGACTTTAACAATACAACATGTGCCAAGCATGGACATCACCCAAAAAGGGTAATTGCTGCTTTATCTTATTTGCTTCTTTAACATTTCTACTACCTCAGCCATAGGCCTCTAAATTAACATGATTGTGACTCCATATCATACCTCCCAATGTCTGCCTTTAGGAAGTCAGGAAGTGTGGGCAGAATCCTGAAGGGTGTCATTGCCCACAATGGGTGGGGATGTTCAGAAAGGAGCAGTCTCTTCCAAGAAGAGGGTTGCATCAGCAAGAAAAAAGGGGGCAGCTTGGCTGGCACACATCTATCAGGACCATGCAGTTAGCGTTGCTAAAGAGCTCCCTGCATTGTCCTAGTGTCCATTGCACAGCGTCAATGCGTCCATTGATGCGTTCGTGCTGTGCTGCCAGTTTCTTGGTATCCCCAGATGCAGGACAGCACCCCAAAATCGTGACTGTCCTGCTGAAAAAAGGGACATTTGAGAGGCATGATATTTTCATATTTTACTCATAAACAATAATAATTTTTCTCAGATTTTATGGCTCAGTGGGGATGTGCAGTAAATTATGTAGACTGTGCCAGTTTATGTGTGCTTGAGAGGATATTTGCTTATAAAGTGCTATAAAGTTTAACTCTTATATAACTATATTCATGTACATACAGATTATTTTCTATTTGATTGTATAACAATAGTCCATGACCAGATATTTAACTAATGCCTCAAATGCTCAAAATCAATTTTCTATGTCATCACTCGGTCAGCCATTAGGTGTGCAGATAACTATTATATATAAAGATATTTACAGTTAGTGAGCAAATAATCGCGGTTTTAGAATTGCTATAACTGTGATTTTTGATTTTCTAAAAACAAACAAAAAAAAGCACGTATAAGTAAATATTGAATTATTTCATGTGTGAATCAGGTTGCTGCCTGGAATCCATTTTGTGATATACCTACATAACTGATGCATCATCACAGGATTCTACGGTGTCAATACATATCTGCAAACACCCGAAAGGGGAACAGAACAAGGGAACATATGCATGTGTTTAAGCATTTCTTTGCTAGTCTGCTAACCACCTATGCCTATATATAGATGTCTCTCTCTTGGTTGCATATTTAAAGTACAATTAGAAAACCATAGTGTCCTATTAAATAGAAATAAACATTTATTAATTCCATAAGCCAACACAATGTTATTGCTGCAGTCCCACCACAATGTTTCTCATTGTATGGGGAATAATATTCAAACTATGTAGCAATCTTCCTATTACTCAGGTTAAAGTCTTAGTTCAGAGGAAATCACACAGGACGATATCACACATATTTCGCTACTCCTCATCTGTCGAACCACTTGCCCATCCTTGCAGGGTTGTATCTGTGAGTTTGTGCATTTGAATGTAAGCATGTTTTTGTATGGATTAAGTGTGTGTTTGTGTAGGGGTGTATTCGTATGTACCGGTGCCTGGGAATGCAGTGGTGTACTTTTATGTAAGGTTTACATTTGATTTTTTGATTTTGATAGTGTTGGCTCTCAAATGCAGGTGTACGTTTGTGTTTAGAGTTGGTGGGATGGGGTGTTGGCATTTTAATCAGAGTTATGTTTGTATGTAATGTTCGCATTTGATCGCTGGGGTGTGTTTGTATGCATTGATGTCTTTTAAATGTGTGTACATTTGTATGTAATGTGTGCTTTTGATTGCAAGGGTGTGTTTGCATGTAATGTTTATCATTTGATTGCTGGTTTGTATGCACAAAAACTGCCACATACATACACATATACTTATACTCATTGACACACACACAGTTACACTTTGAAACATACACACCCTTAGATACATTCTGACAAATACACACACTCAGATAAACACATATACATACAATAACACATAGATATACACACTGACAAACACACACAGATACATACACTGACACACACAGATACACACTGACACTGATGCACACAGATACACACACTGACACACACACAGACATACAGAAACACACACTGACACACATACACATTCACAGACTGATACACACACTAACACAGATACACACACTGACACATACACACACTGACGCAGACAGATGCATTTGATTGCTGGTTTGTATGAACAAAAACTGCCACATACATACACATATACATATACTCATTGACACACACACAGTTACACTTTGAAACATACACACCCTTAGATACATTCTGACAAATACACGCACTCAGATAGACACATATACATACAATAACACATAAATATACACAGTGACAAACACACACAGATACATACACTGATGCACACAGATACACACTGACACTGATGCACACAGATACACACACTGACACACACACACAGACATACAGAAACACACACTGACACACACACACATACACATTCACAGACTGATACACACACTAACACAGATACACACACTGACACATACACACATTGACGCAGACAGATGCATTTGATTGCTGGTTTGTATGCACAAAAACTGCCACATACATACACATATACATATACTCATTGACACACACACAGTTACACTTTGAAACATACACACCCTTAGATATATTCTGACAAATACACACACTCAGATACACACAGATACGTACACTGACGCACACAGATACACACTGACACTGATGCACACAGATACACACACTGATACACACATACACACACTGACATACAGAAACACACACTGACACACACAGACACATTCACAGACTGATACACACACTAACACAGATACACACACTGACACATACACACACTGACGCAGACAGATGCGTTTGATTGCTGGTTTGTATGCACAAAAACTGCCACATACATACACATATACTTATACTCATTGACACACACACAGTTACACTTTGAAACATACACACCCTTAGATACATTCTGACAAATACACACTCAGATAAACACATATACATACAATAACACATAGATATACACACTGACAAACACACACAGATACATACACTGACACACACAGATACACACTGACACTGATGCACACAGATACACACACTGACACACACACAGACATACAGAAACACACACTGACACACACACACATACACATTCACAGACTGATACACACACTAACACAGATACACACACTGACACATACACACACTGACACAGACAGATGCATTTGATTGCTGGTTTGTATGTACTAAAACTGCCACATACATACACATATACATATACTCATTGACACACACAGTTACACTTTGAAACATACACACCCTTAGATACATTCTGACAAATACACGCACTCAGATAGACACATATACATACAATAACACATAGATATACACAGTGACAAACACACACAGATACATACACTGATACACACATACACACACTGACATACAGAAGCACACACTGACACACACACACAGGCACATACACAGACTGATACACACACTGACACATACACACTGATGCAGACATATACACACACTGACAGACAGATATACACACTGACACACAGAAGCACACACTGACACACACACAGACACATACACAGACTGATACACACACTGACACATACACACTGATGCAGACATATACACACACTGACAGACAGATATACACACTGACACACAGACACATACACACACTGATACACAAACTAACACAGATACACACACTGACACATACACAAACTGACACATACACACACTGATGCACACAGATACACACTAAAACACACGCAGAGATATGTACACACACTGATACACACACTAACACAGATACACACTCTGACATATACACTGACACATACACACCTTGATGCACACAGATACACACACTGACACATACACACAAAATCACATATCTTAGCAAACAAATATGGGGATTCAGTTACACCATAGTGTGTTAAACCCACCACTATGTCACAGTACCCCAATATGGGTAGGTCCTACACTAGTTTCAACATGGGAGATTTACATGCTAACCTGCAATACTCACTTGCAGTTTAAACTGCAGGGGCACCTACAATGGATTGGTGGGGTGCTCAGCCCAATAAGAATATTGTCTGGATTCCAAGTCTACACAGAAAAAGTGGGGATTGGGGGCACAGAACATGCATTTCTAAGAAGTGGTACTGCTATAAAGACCAAAATCTATACAAAGTAAAGCTAAAGGAACAGCGAACACACAAACAGATAAATACAGGTTTAAATTGTACAAGGCTACTTAAAATCACTCATCTTATCAAACAAATATGGGGATTCAGTTACAGCATATTGTGTTAAACCCATCACTACACACTCAGACCCTCAGACCTTCTGACACATACACAACTAATACGTACACTGACACACATATACACACACACACACACACACTGACACATGCACACAGATAGATAAACACACTGACACATACACATGCACTGACACACAGATATTCACATACTGAGACACGGATACACACACTGACATATACACTTACATACACACAGACACACAGATACTCACAAACAGAGACTTATATGCAAACTGGCACACACACAAACACATTGACAGATACACACACAGACACATAGATGCACACACTGATACACACACTGACACATGCACACAGATAAACACACTGATACAAACACTGACACACAGATACACATTGAAATAGATACACACACTGACACATAAACAATCACAGATACTCATACACAGACACACAAATACACACTGGGACATACACACAGATACACACACTAAAAAAACAGATACACACACACAGATATAGATACACACACTGACACCAGCACCGATACACATTTCTCCATCAGGGCTAGAGTAAGACCCCATTGAGTTAGTGTGCTGTAAATGAACCCGACATACACACACTGTACTGAAGTATAAAATGTTTGATGTGCTGTAGTGCTGGATGCATCTGCCACCCATCTGCAACTAGACCTTGCAGTCATATATAAAGGCATCCATGCATTTATGAACTGAAAACTTCGGGCACATAAAATCCATCAACATGGACATCAACAGGTTAACCACACAGAAATAAGTTAGGGAAGCAAGGAATGCAAAGGGTCACAATCTATCCTAAGGGTCACAGGGAATTCATCCTATGTGTCATGGGGCGCAAAAGGTCTGTGTACAATCAGAATGGAAAAGAGCATGTACAATAGACTCAGGACACATTTTGGTCCCCTCTTGTTGGTTATCAAGGCACTGATTAGATACAGACTAGTTTATACAGTGCCCAAGCTATCTTTGGCACTTTAGATATTTTGGACGATGTTTCCTGATGCTCAGTAAGACTAGTGAAGATGTGTCTGCCTCCCTGGCCGTTTCAGGCTTTAGCAGATCACAAAAAACACCCGGCAGCTGGGTCCTATTGCAATGCATGAGCCTGGATCTTTAATAGCCCCTATATTAATCTGACTCTGACATGCTGGGCATATGGACAAGCGGGACTAGTAGCCTTCATTACCCTGGGGAAAGAGTTGCCTTGTTTTATCCAGACAATGTGCTGGCTCTATGTGGTGTTATGCCAACATACATACAAAGTTATTACATTCTACTTGCTTTCAGGAATCTGCAATCTCGCAAATACCAGCAGATTCTTTACAAATACCCTGACAAATTCAGATTTGCCCTTCTAAGCTATCGCTTTTTAGCTATCTATGTTGTTAAAGATTATGTAATCTCTGATAATTTGTACCTTCCATGACAATATTTCTTTCCCTGGATGAACACAAATTAATATAATATATATATATATATTGCAATCTTGTCACACATTTTCTTTTTTTGTGTGCTAGCTGTACACCCCATGTTACAAATAAATGTAATGTAATGCTTCACTTGTTTTTAAATGTTTTCTAATTAAAATATGAGAGGGGCTAAAGAAGAGCATTTTTGAATTTTGCAATCTAAAAACGTAATTACAGGAGAAACAGCTACTTCTCAGTGCTGAATTCAAGAACACTTCAATTTCAGATATGATAGATACGCTTTAAAAAAAATATGATGCAGTTCATTAAGACAGATGTATTTGAATACAGATATAGTTACCGAGCTGTCTTTAATATTATAAGCACCGGAAAACACAGTGCAAATGGAAAATATATTTCTGAACACGGCAGGTGCAGAGGTGAGGAAGCCCGGAGCATTCAATTATTATATGCAAATAAATCATGTACATAATGTGTGCAGCCGGATCTCTGCATGAAAAAACAATGTGATACTCATTGTTTGTGATAATTCAGTATATTGACTGGATCAGAAAGCAGACAATCTCTGGTATCTATGGCTACCCTGGGTAATTGTGATGTTACTATTGGCTGCTAATTAGGATAACAGCACATTTGAGAACAGTTAGAATATTTCATTGTGAATGGGGTTTTAAACCCAGCGCTGTATTAGCTCTATAATGTATCTATTTAGGTGCATGTTCTTTATAACACTAATATACTGGTAGCAATATATATATATATATATATTCAGTAGTAATTAAAAAAGATAAAAGGAAACTGTAATTAAAAAATGTATAATATAGGATCAACAAAATGTAGCAATCACAAATCCCACCTTCCCAAAGTGATCCCATTGTACAGCGCTACGGAATCTGATGGCGCTATATAAAAAATATAATAACAATAATAAAATTAATAAGGATAGTTTATACTTTAAGTAGGAATAAGAAAGTTCATTTTTGTGCAGATATGGTTTGGGCCCATTCACTTATTGGTTTTTACACCCATTGGCCCAGCTCAACAACTGCCTACATTGATATACAGTGTTTAGTTTACCCAATACAGAGGTGAAATATGACATTTTATATATATATATAATTTTAGAATGAGTACATCCCATTTCCCTCCCTGCACCCGTTTGTGTATTCATTTAATGTCCCTTACTCCTCGTTACACTTTTCACAAAATGTCCTTCTGTGCGTGATTGTCACCCAAACCAACACTAGAATAACGATCTTCATTGCAATCTCTGTCCAATGAATGTAGTACATTTGTTTGTTGGTCACAATGGAATTCAGTAGTGGACCTATGTTAATTGTTATCTATATTGACACATATACCTCTGTTTTCTTTTTTTCCTTGGGGTGACATTCCATTGTGTTCACAATTTAGCACGTTACTATTTTGTCCGTTATCACAGTATATTGGTGCCAGTTTAATTTGGGAAAATGAATTATTATCTTGCAGATGGGGGAGAAGAATTTCTCATTAGCCGGTAGACAGGGACAATATGGATAAGGCATAGTATTTAAGGTGGTTTGGTACAATATGTGAAACCTGAAGCACATACTTAATTATAAAATGCAACTGATTAGTCAGTATACTTGTGCACAAACTAGTTTCAGCTGCATTCAGACACATTAAAATTCATGTTAAGCTATGTCTCAACTAATCGATTAATCTGGGCTTTTCCTGAGGATAGATTAAGAGGAATTTGATGTTGAAACATATTTCTGCACAAGTATACTTGTTAGTTAATGAGTTGTTGTTGATTAGCAGATCAGCTCAATGCATTTCTCCCCCACATGGTCAGAGCAATGTGTTGCAGGACCCCCACGCAATCGCCTGCAAACGTTATGTACAACTTATTTTTATTTAATTCAATTTGTGTCTATGTTTCTAAAACAAAACAAGTCCTTCAAACAATGATATTACGCCTTTGATATGTCACTAGCCTTACAGGGTTAGTCACTAAGGTGAGAATTTAAACTGAATTCAAAGTGAATTTTAATTTAATTTAAAACCGCTTAAACTAAAAGCAAAGCTGCGTTTGGCTATTTTGCCATTAGATTTGAATTTCACTTTGAATGGCAAAACCCTAGTTCCCCAGCTACGGCATCACAGCCTTTCAAGACTAGAAAAGCATACTAAGAATTATAGTTGTACAGTAAATGAGGATCTAGATTTTAACATCCCCGGTATCTGAGTCACAGCCCTAACACAGCACGTGGTTTTCCTGACTCTGCAAATGACTTGAAACTGTCATTTCAGGAAGGTGTGTAAAGAATGTACTCTCCCGGGAATGCGATGTAGAACTTAGAACTGTCCATTTAAACCCATCAATACATCGATACATTTCCACCCAATTAGTTCTCCTTAAAATGGTCCGTGTTCAGCAGATGAAAAGCACACTGCCTTAATTGCTCTGTTATTTTCCTCTGTTAAATCTCTAACCCTGTATTCGGTGGGATACTGTACATCTTCCAAAAACAAAAATAGAGGCGTATTTTCACAAATGTTTTATTATAAAATTTGGGCTGCTTTGTTCATTTAATTCCTAGGAGTGACATTTTCTCTGTTATAGAAACAAGAACTAACATAGCAAAAGAGAAAATAATTAATGTCAAGTCCTTGAGTGTTAAATTGTTACAAATATATATATATATATATTTGCATATATTTTTGCAATCCAATCTGCACTATATATATATATATATATAGTGTATATATATATATATATATATATATATATATATATATAGTGTAGATTGGATTAGCCATATTAGTCCAGTAGACGAGATGCCAAAATACCAGATACCTTTTTTATTGGACTAACATAATATTTCACAGACAAGCTTTCCAGAGTTTTCCTCTCTTCCTCAGATCTGAAGCAATACTGATCAATCTGATAGCGGTTAACAATTAAAACAACTGATGTTAGAGAAGGGGAGAGAGAGGGGTGAGTGGGGTGTCATAAATAGCAGAAGATGTGCCTGAAAGTGAAAGGTGCAGGTTGGCTGAGAATAGCCAGAAAAAGTAAATAAACAGAGGGGAGTCAATAAGCTAGTTAAAGGTATCATTGCATCCTGCAACAGACTGGTGTATTATATATATATATATATGTATATAAAACATATACCAGCAAATATAATATAATATACGTGACTCTGTAACTTATGCATTGGAAGAGATTGTTATGAATAAGTGGAGCAATCACCGTGGAAACTATTGCAATCAGCAGGAACATTGGTTTCCATGGAGATTGCCCCACTTTTAGACCTATGCTTCTGCTAACACTTTGATAAATCTCCCACCATGTTTTACACTGCTACATTGTAATATAGTCTATGTTTACGTGTACGTGTGTCTGTCTGTTTGTATGTCTGTCTGTCTACATATCTACTAATCTCGATTCATGAGTTGTGGGATTAATATCTGTAAGTGGGTTTTGAGTTTATTGTACAGATTGACCATTTTTTTTATAGCAATTAATGCATAAATGCCAAATTTTCTTTAAGCAAAAAAAATAAAGAAATTAAAATAGTAAATAACTAAAAAAAAAACTCCCACCAATGAGCCAGAATATAAAGTTGTTTAATAACGTGGGATAGAGAAAGGGTCATTCTCGGTTTCGTAATCCTACTGCTGTTCCGTTGTGCTGTGCAACATTTTGCTACATATAGACTATTTTATAGAAAAAAAGCTAGAATATTTATTATCAATATGAAAGCAATAGTGCATTAAAGATGAACTGAGACATTAGAAATTGTGTAACTGCTTAGATTCACATTTCGTGGATTTTTTGTACTTTATTTATAACTAATAAATTGAATTGCATTGCTAACTCATCTTTTTCTTGTTTCCTTTATGTTGGACTTGAGTTACTATTTATCTTTAGATTAAGGGACACACCTGATAAGTTAACGGGTACAGAAGTCATGTCACTAAATAAAAGGCTTACAATGAATTTGGAGATTTTTGCAGACATTATTATTTTTATTCAAAATATTGACACTTGGAATATTCTCTGTGCAGTCACTCAGACAGCCACTAGAGGTGCTTCCTATTTCAGTGGTGCACTGCGTTCAGCATCTCAATGCTTCTCTATGAGAAGATGCTGATTGGCGCAGAGCTGTGCATGCGCAATAGCCTCCCATTGCTTTACTATGGGATAGCATTGGATTGGTTTAGACCGTCAAGATTGATGAGCTCAGCCATGAAGCCGGGACCAGCTGTGGCCAGACCATCATGATGATGGAGAAAAGGTAAGTTATAAAAACCTTTTTACTACTTTTGAGAGAGGCCAGGGATGTACACAGGTACTCCAGCATTATAGCATTAGGAATACATTTTTTATATTCCTAACATTATGGTACCCCATGAAGCTATTCTACCAACTAAGACTCCTTGCCAACAGTTAAAAACAAACAAACTAAAGAACAACCATACAAGTCTATGCCATAAAATAAAATTCTATACACTGATCCATGCCAATGTCCAGAAAGTGATAAAAACGAAGGTGTCAAGTTAATATTTTTGGATAAGCTTTTCAAACTATTTAATATTTTTGGATAAGCTTTTCAAATGATTTAATATTTTTTGATAAACTTTTAAAACTATTTTTTAAAATATTAAACGTTAAAAAAATAGGTTATAAATAAAATATATCAATGTATCATAAAATATCAAAATGTTTTCAAAATATTAAATCATTTAAATATGTTATCCAAAAATATTAAATAATTTAAATATGCTATCCAAAAATATTAAATTATTTGAAAAGCTTAGTCAAAAATATAAAACCGAGGCCTTAAAATATAAAAGTAATGACAAATTATCTAACCTGGAGTACTCAGAGTGACATATCACCGGAAACAGTGTGTACTTTGGTTGCATTATTGTGTCTCTTGTCATTCGAGGTATTTAATATGAAGTAGGGAGAGGTTATATTACACACATTTAATATAAGGTAAATATAATTGAAAATGTTCTAGAAGGGATAACTAACAGAGTAAATGGTGAATCAATTACATGTGTAACCGATCATATGATGAGAAAGTGTTCTTTGACCAAGTGGTTGTGTGTCAGGAACCTGCAATGGAGTAGTTCCACTACATGAAATAGTTTCATGAATTGAAAAAGGCTCAATCTACAGGAGATCTTGGTATAGCTAGTATTTGACATCATGGAGATAATAGACCGGTACAAATCAGAAAAGACAGCGTGTGATGAAGTTCCAAGTTCATAAGAATTACCTCCCTCCTCCCCAAGAGTGGTGGGCAGTTGGGCTGTCTGTACAGTAGGCGGCCTCTGATGCCTCTGAGACCTTTCCCTATCCAAATCTCCAATCAGTCTGCATTTGTAATGATGAACCAATAGTGGAGTTTGATTTCTAAGGTTATTGGCCACCAATATTTGTATCCCAATGCAATAAAAGCTGTAATTGGTACCTGGTACCTGATGTTTTAGTGAGGCACTAACTGTACTCTGAAAGATAAAAGGTTATAGGTCGCGCCAAAAACCATATGCAGAAAACATATAGCAAATGTTAGAATAATAAATCAAAATTGAAATATCACCATGAGAAACTGCTAAAGATATAGGAACAATATAATATGTACTTACATATATCAGTACATTAGAACAGAAATAAGTCCTAGAGTGAACAAAAAATGGTCAAATCCACTTGAAAAACTGGAGAATGGTAATAGTCCAAACAAAGGTAGAGGAATAGTCGATGTTTCTTTTCCAGGTGGAAATATGAAAATAGAACAAAAGGAAATTCCAATAGTGTAGACTGTAACTTGAGCTTCTTTATGAAGAATCAAAACAAAAGAGTATCGCACTCACCTATTTTGGAGCTTGAACTAGCTCAGGTATGGTTCGCACTCAGTGGTATTAGTCCCCCAGTGATGGGGTGTAGACATATATAGGTGAAGGAAATCCTCGGAAGAAAAGGAGATAACACAAAATAGTGCTCACTGTATAAGTGTTAAATTAGAGATGAAATAAAAATATATGTGGAATACTCACATTTGGGTGAGCAGGATGTACTGCTCACTTATTTAGCGTAGGTGGTATAATCCCCACCTGGGATTCTTGAGAAAATGGGTGGTATTGTATATAGATATAACCAGGTCCAGAAATAAAATAAATAACAAGATAAAATAAACTAAAATAAAAGGTATGTGGCAAGAGAGGAAAAATATACTAGCCAATATTCCTTTATTAATACATATATAAAATTATAAAATAGCCAAAACGCGTTTCGCCACACAGGGCTTTATCAACTGGCAATTAAAAACAGAGACCTGGTATAGAATGGTTTATATAAACTTTTAGTCCATTAGCAATTTCAAAATTGGCGCCAAAATGATGTCATAATTTATGCACAGAATAATTAATAACATATATCTTATTTAAAACTGAATAAAATTAATGCAGTACTGGATAAACTTCAAAGACATATAATTAGATTCAAATTCATTTCAATCTGATTTTATTTTGATATAAAAACGTTAGTAATAGAAATAAAAAAGAGAAGAATTGACGGGTTCGAGTGATCATGTGACATGACGCAGCCAATGGCGTCTTTCCGTCGAACAGGCTTAGCCATAAGGGAGGATGGGAAATGTTGGCAGGGAGGGGGATGTGAGACCCAGATAAGGTAGAGACGAGTGACTTCCGGGTTTGGGCGATCACGTGACGTGGCACAACCAATAGCGTGCCTACGTCACGTGTTTCACCGAAAGGGAAGATGGGAATTGTAGGCAAGAGGGAACAATATGAGAGTTGCTTCTAAATAACCAAATAAAGAGTATTATAGGCGGAGACTACTTCCGAGGAAAAATTCTGTAGTAGTTATATAAAATAGAAAACGTTTGTTGCGATTTTAAAGCAACAGTACACACCGCCTTTGGGAAATATAAAAATGAGAATAAAAATGAAAATGAAAAAGAAGCTCCTAACAATAAAAATGCAAATAAAAATAAAAGTAAGATATATATTAAGAAATAGAATGGGATAAAAATGGATAATAAAAAAATATAAAACAAAGAGTGTGACATATGTCCATACATAATATAAATATGTGAAAAAAAAGCATATATGTGCATATATACATAAAAAGCTCTAAAAAACAGATTTATAAAAATGGATTTATAAAATTTTTTTACATTTTTTAATAAATTTTTTATTTTTTTTTAATTTTTTTTATAAAAAAATTAAAAGGTCAAAATCAAGGTTAAGACCCTGTGGGGAGAGCAGCCTATATAAATATACACTTTTTCACTACTCTATTGAGACACTAAGCGCTGAATCCACTACCTTTTACACTAACTGTACTCTATAGTTTATCAACTGAAACAACAGTAAAGGTGAGCTTTGTTGCAAGTGTCCATCGTCTTCATGAGTGAACTGTACTCATTTGGTGAAGGTGGACAATTTTCCAGGACAAGCCCTTATAACAGAAAGGTCTAAAGCCTTTTAAAGCCAACTCTTCTTTACAACTCTGCTTCAGTTCATTCTGGATTGCTGGCTTTTGTTTATGCACAGTTCTCTTAAGGTCCAGCCACAACAGTTCAATCGGGTTGAGGTCTGGACTTTGACTGGGTCATTGCAACACTTTGATTTTCTTTTTCAGTTATTCTGTAGCATTGCTGGTGTGCTTGGGATCATTGTCCTGTTGCTTGACAACATTTCGGCTAAGCTTTAGCTGTTGGACAGATGGCCTCACATTTGACTCTAGAATAGTTTGGTATACAGAGGAGTTCATGGTCGACTTAATGACTGCAAGGTTCCCAGGTACAGTGACTGCAAACAAGCCCAAATCATCACCCCTCTAACACCGTTCTTGACAGTTGGTATGAGGTGTTTGTTTTGTTATATTGTTTTTGGTTATCACCAAACATGGCGCTGTGCATTATGGTCAAACATTCCAACTTTGGTATTCTGTCCAAAGGGCATTGTTACAAAAGTATTGTGGTTTGTTCTTTTTAAAGTGAAGAGGCTTTCTTATGGTAATCCTTCCAATCAAGCACTACTTGTTCAGTCTTTTTCTTAATTGTTCCCTCGATACTATTCCCTCAGATCTCATCCGCACTCTATCTCCTTTTCCTTTACTCTGCCTCGCATTGAAATTTTAAATTTCTCCCTCTCCTCTGGCATATTTATTTACCCTTCAAACATGCAACCATAACCCTGGTTCTGAAAAAGCCCAACCTTCACCTTAACTCCCCATCCAACCACCGCGCTATCTTGCTACTGCCGTTTCCCTCCAAGATCTAATGCTCTAATTGCAGCAAAATCGCATCGTCACTTTTCTATCCTAATTCTCCTTGACCTTTTTGCTGCCTTTGACACTGTTGATCAGCAACAACTTCTTCTCACCCTCTGCAATTTCAATTTACAAGATACAGTTCTCACCTGGTACTCCTCCTACCTCTTCGAATGTTTCTTTCTGGCTCTGCCTCTTCTCCTCCTCTGTTGGTATTCCCCAAGGCTCTGTCCTTGGTCCCCTACTGTTCACTATTTACACTGCCTCCCTAGGTAAACTCATCAGCTTCTTTGCTTTGAATATCATTTCTATGCGGAGGAGACTCAAATCGATGATGATCGCTGTCTAGGTGTTCTCTTTGATTCCAACCTCTCCTTCGCACCTCATGTCCAGTTGATCACCATATCCCGCCATGTCAATCTCAAAAATATAAAGTGTATTTAACACCGGACATGGCTAAAATGCTGGTCCATGCCACAATCCTCTCTCACCTTGACTGCTGAAATTCACTTCTAAGTGGTCTTACATGTTCCCAATTTGCCCTGTTACAGTCTATATTGAATGTGGTGGTGA